AGGGGGGAGGGAAGGGGTTTGAGGGGACAGATCAAGGCTCCCACAGTGAGGGAGGGAGTGGGGATGGGCCTGAGGTAGATGTTGCACAGCCAGGGTGGAGGGCAGGATGGAGCCACAAGAGGCTTATCTGAGGGTCATGGTGGGGAGGGCAGCTCCTGTCGTTGCACACACCCCAGGAGGGCATGGAGGTGGGGGGGTGCCCCCAGATTTGGGCACGGGGTGAGGGTGGGCTGCTGCTGTGGGCTGGAGTGGCACTGAGATCTTATCAGCAGAGGGCTGGGCCAGACTGTGCTCAGCACTGGCAGTGATGGTGCTGAAAGTGGGGCTAAGAAGGAGGGCTGCAGCCACCCCAACATTCACTGTAGCCCCCCTCCCAGTGCCACCTGCCCCAAGCGCAGTCTAGCACAGACCCCACCAGGAAGAGCTTGATGCCACCCCTGGCCCCAGCCCACAGCAGCAGCCCACCCTCACCCCATGTGCAGATCCAAGGGCACACACCCCCTATGCTCTCCCAGGGTGCGTGTAGCAGTGGGAGCTGCCACCACCATGCCTCCCAGATGAGCTGTCCCTTTCTCAGCCCCAGCCCAATCCCACTCCCTCCCTCATCACAGGGGCCTTGATCTGCCTCCCCCACAATGCCCCTTTCCCTCCCTTACCAGCTGGACCCAGCAGCTCTCCACACTGCTGGGCTGCACTCCTGGCTGCCTGCATGCTGCACTCTGGCTGCTGCATGCATGGGGCATTTATCGGTGATATTATCGGCCACATCAGCCAAAAAAGGCTGACTGCTAATACTGTCAATTTGCCTTATATTGGTGCCGATCTGATATGGGACCAATGTATTGGTACACCTCTAATTAAGTGTATTGTAATACACTACCATTTATAATTCTATAAACCTTGACATTAAAGAAAACCTCAAATTTGATAGGAAGTGGGGTATATTTTAATAAGTTATGATGTAAAATTTTGCATAAGATGACATGCTAAAAAAAGATACTTTTCAAATAGGTCAGCAAATGGAGTACAGGATCATAGGAAAGCAGGGCTGGAACGGACCTCAAAAGGTCATCTAGTTCAGTCCCCTGCTCAAGGCAGGATCATCCCTGACTAAACAATGCCAGAAAGTATCTGTCCAATAGGGCAGTGTGAAGCTTCAGTACCTGATTTGATTCAACAGAGATTTGACCCAATTTGGTGGCTGAATCTCCAAATCCAAATCAAATCAGGGGACCCTTTAATCTCTCTGAATCCAACTGGAACCCTCTCAATTGATTTGGAGAGATCTGGAAAGATTTGGACATAGACACAGCTTTAAATGTCTTTTCTACATACCTCTAGGTAGCAGGTGGCTCAAGAATGCTGCAATACTGGGGTGCATGGAGCACTTCTGGTCCACTTCCAGGTTCGCCACCAAGCATGTGGAGGGTCCCCTGCACTCCTGTGGGATGCTCCATGTGCCCCAGTACTGCAGTGTTCACAAGCCACACTGGTACCTCGAGGTATGTAGAAAAAACATTTAAAGCTGTGTCTACATGTGAATCACTGATTCTCTGAATCAGCATTGAATCTTCAGATTCGGGTTCGACCGAATTGAATCAGCAACAGTGATCCAAATCAAGAAATTGAATCGCTGTCCCTGATTTGACCTGAATCCAAATCCAAATTGACTAGGGCCCACTTCGGACACCCCTACTGTCTAACCTGCTTTTGAAAATTGCCAGGGATAGAGATTTCACAATTTCTCAAGGTAGCCTGTTCCAATGCTTGATTGCCTTCATAGTCAGAAATTTCCTCCTAATCTCCCATCTAAATTTCCCCTTCTGTAGCCTTAGGCAATTATTCCTGGTCCTATCCCCTGTAGCACAGAGAAAAGCCTATCTCCATCCTCTTTATAATCACCCTTCAGGTGTTTGAAGACTGTTATCAAATCCCCAATCAGTCTTTTCTTCTCCAGATTCAATAACCCTAGCTCTTCCAGCCTTTCTTCATAACTCATACTTCCTGGGCCTCTAAACATTTTTGTTGCTCTCCATTGGACTCTTTCCAATCTGTCCACATCCTTCTTGAAGAGCAGGGCCTAAAACTGGACATGGTACTCTAGGTGAGACCTCACCAGTACTGAATAGAGTGTGAAAACTGAAGTACAAAAAGGCATTAATACTTCAGTCTTCTCTACACGATCTGTAACTAGATTTTTTTTCCTGCATTCCATAAGGTTTCTTTGGTCTTCCTCTTATTCTTGTTATACTTGTAAAATCCCTTTTTAGTGTCTTTTACCAATTGTTTCTCAAATTATTCCTTGGCCTTCCTAATTTTCTCCCTGCATGCCCATGCAATATATTTATACTGTTTCCTAGTACTATGACCAAGTTTTCACTTTTTATACAATTGCTTTTTCAGTTTCATCTTAATGAAGATGTTAGCCAGACTTGTTGTGCTTTCCATTCTTCTGTTGCATCAGGATAGCTTACTCCTGCATCCTTATAATCTTCTTTGCTGTACTTGTGCATGTATTTAATTTGATTGGACTGATACTGAATTGTACTGCCCACATGGAAAAATATCGTTTCCCCAAAAGCTAATTAAAAATTTGCATGAAATACATGCCATAATTTGTCACATACAATACCTCCTAGAATACAACATACTCCTTGTTTTTGAAAGCCAGAATGGGAAAAAAAGATTTTTCCATAGTTATGGCTGCATAAAGCAGGAACAGACCCTAATCTTGAGCTGACTCATCCTCCCTTTCCTGATTCTCTAAAGGTCAAACTGTAGCTGCTGTTGAAAACTGCTCTCCATGGTTGGATCTGTGATTTTGAAAAGAGCCGTCTCCTGGGATGTGAAATTGGAGGTGAGACACCAGGAAAAAACAAGGAGACACTTTTAGACATCAATATTACCCTAAGAAAAGTTAGCTTGATTAGTTGAACATCAAGGCCATTACATTGAAGAGGTAGTAGTTAACCCCTGTGGAGTGAAAGTTCAAATTCCATACAGCCAGGCAAAACCAAGGACAAGGTCATGGAGAAGCACAAAGTATGACATGGGCTTATTAGATGAATGTCACAGTACAAGGTGTGGGCATATGTCAAAAATACATGGAAAATGTATGTTATTATCACTAATTTTCTTTACATTTTTAAAATGGTCTCTGTAGCTGAACTCAAAACAAGCTCATTTCAGAATAATAATAGTTATTTTACCAACCCACCCACCCCCAAAAACTCCAAACCATTAACTACATGAAAAATCTGACATTCAGTCATTACAAAATGTCAGATTATGTGTATTGATATCACTCAGTTGCCACAGTTACTTCCCTATTTTGTTCTTGATTCTGCTTTCCATTGCACCTGTTTTGTCAGCTGAAGGCAATATAACTTATTCATCACACAACTGGTGTAATCACGTGGAGGACAGGCCTTTTTAGGAATATCTACCAACACAAATGTAGTTTTACTATAGGCAAATATTCAATTTTATAATAACTCTTGAGTGTCATTTGGTTGACCTCTGTAATAGTTAGGAACCAGGGATTTGACTCTGAACATTCTTGAACTTTCAGTTCTGATCCAGGAAATTCTTCTGCCAAATATCTGTGTTGCTTATTTTAGCAAAAGCTTTTACACATCCTTACTTAGAATGTATTTCTGCTGCATAGGTAATTTCCCTGAAAATGTCTACATTCAAGCAGTCAGAGTCTACCTACCTGCTATTATGTTGTCCAGGAGGGTAGTAGGCATGCAGAATATACCCACCAGTAAATCACTGACAGCAAGGTTTAAGATGAAGAGATTCGTAACTGTACGCATGTGCTTGCTCCTCAGAACGATGAAGCAAACCACTCCATTGCCAACCATACACAAGAGGAAGATGAGGAGGTAGGAGATGATGAAGACTGCTGCCACTGGAGGCTGATGCAGGTAGAAGTCTACATAAGAAATGTTGCTTTCTGTGTATGGATGCTTGTATGTCCCATTGAAACTTGGCACGTGAGGCCAACTGAATGAAGAATTGGAATCCAGTTTCTCATTCATGTTGTATTGTTCCTTGCAAGATAAAAAATAGCACCTTATGTGTGTGTAAAAATTTTGTGTGCCCAATAACCATAAAAACAGGCACTACCATATTCCTAATAATAAATAATCTTGTAGTATCTGCCTGAACAATTAGATATACTACATTTGCAATAGTGACGACATTATGTGCACTCAGTCCATTAATATTTGCCAATTATAATAGTCCACGATCTAACAAACCCCAAATTGCTACTAATTTTACCTTTCAGGATCCATATGTTAGATATGATTTTCCTTATTTATTTGATAAATATGGAATTTGTCCCTTAACAATTACACTGACTTAGAGCCTAGAAAGAGTAATAGCTGGATACTGGATCCTAGATTTAGGCCAACTTAAAAAAAAAAAAAAAAAAGGAGGTAATGGATTTTGCAGTTCCTGGATGTCTGACTGGAGACAGTTTGGGTCTGTTGCTTGGAAATGTTGAAGCACTGTTATATCCCACTAGCTTCAGCTGGAATTTTTGGTGTTTGCCACCCCAGAGCACAATGCTCTTGACAATAAAAACTGTGCACACAAAGCTAATTAATTACCTCATTTGAAAATGTTGGCCTTTATGTCCAGTACCTCAGAGAACTTCAGAGCTAGGCTTAGGAGGCTTAAGTAATTAGAAACATAGAATTCCCCCTGTACCAGTAGAAATGAAACTTTTCTTTCTAGCTACAGAAGATAACGAGATATCACTGGACTTAAAGTTTAGGGTGTTACAACTGAGGTGTCTATGGCTATGTACTTGAAAGGGGATGGTCACATTCTGTTTTTTGGGTGCTGTATTTCTAAATACAGAGGATTTGTTTCCTCCTGCAGCTGGGAAAGCACCATGTTGTCTCGCTTATCTTTGCTTTTTTTCTTTGTTCTTTCAACAAGAAATATGACATTTGAAACCAAAAGTGAATATTTTGCACTGTGTGTGTTGTGAAAGGAAACAAACATTTTAACTGATTACAGACATTAACCCTGCCCCCCGCAAAAAAAGCAAAAAATGACACTTTAAACTTGGCATGCTCCTGTGCTCAGCTCAGCACATGCCCAGAAGAGGCATTGCATTAGCTGGACCCAGCTTGCCCAAAGTTTGTATAAATCAGATACTTTAGTGGGGCTTTTTTGGCATTTTTATATAATAGCTGATTGAATCAGCTATTAGAAAAAAAGCACCAAAAAGCCTGGCTGAAGTGCCTAATCTATAACAGTCTCTGCAGAGCCAGGTCAAACTACCATACCACTTCTTCTGGTAAGGTGCTTTTTTTTTAATTTTAACATCTGTAAGCAGCCATAGAGCATGACATTGGGACTGTCCTGTACATCCCAGTAATTAAAAACCACCACTATAATACTAATGGCAGGCCCAAATGACCTAATTGTTCTTTTTCATTCCAAATTCCTATTTACAGTTCAGTCATGTAATCTTTTTCATACATTGGAGTCCATAAGAGTCTGAGTGTGAATGCACCAAATGTAAAGAAACTGAAAGTAATTTCAAAAGGCTGTATATTATGAAGCATAAAAAGACAACATTCACAAATATTAATCTGATATAACAGAGAAGATATGTACAAATGACCCTTAAAACTGCCAAAAGCCAAGTTCCCTGGAGAAGACAGGCTGCATAAACAACCAGCCAAAAGGGAAATACTAGAGAACGTAACAAGTCAATTTAGAACCTGACACAATGGAAGATGAAGGACATAAAATAAAAAAGCAGTAAAACCTCAGAAGGCAGTGCAGGTTAAGAAATCTTGTGCTTAAGCACAGGTTAAATTTCTGCTGGACTTCAAAAATCAGTTAAAGGCAAACATGCTGCTGAATGTGTTCATATACAGGGGACTGTCTCTAAAATGATTACTAAAATTACAGTTCCTAATAGAACACGATTGATTTTTATTACTCTGTTTAGAAGTAAAACAGGGTTGTGTCAAGCTGTGGAAAGGAATCAATAGACTAAAGCTGGAAGGACTGTTTTGTAGATAAAGTATTGGTGTGGAACACAAATCTCTGAATTTGTTTCTTGATTCAACCATTGACTTTGAGTGTGATACTGAACCGCCTGCATTTGATCTCTTTGGGCATATCTACATGTGATGCTATGTCACCATAGCAACATGCTAGGGTGCAACATAGCATCCACAGGGGCCTACATGTGACCATCAGCTACTTCACCATAGCAACGCACTACCCCGTTACAGCATGCCACTACGGCGAAGTAGCTACTAAAAATAACCATGTGCAGTGTGTACGGCATAGTAGGGGCTGTTACTGTGCTGTGACTTAGTACTTCCAAAAGGAAGTAATAAATTATGGTGCAGCAACAAGATTGTTATAGCAACACATCTAAACACACCCTTTGTGTCCCATCCCCAACTATGCATTGGAGATTATAATATTATCTTTCTTCCATTCTTTGTAATTACATTGTAAAGTAAATACTCATCTGTTTACTTTGTAAGTGAAACTCTTTAAGGTAAGAACTGTGGTTATTGCCACTACAAACCCTCACCTGCAACTATAAGAAATAATTTTGAAAATGCCCAAGACATCCTATAATACGCCATAGGTAACAGGAGGGTAGACGAGGGTATTACTAATGCCCTGCTGCTGCACCAACAGGGAAATAGTAGGTTAATGTGCATCCCTAATACGGAGGAAGACAAAATCTACTGCAATCTATGTCAATCTAATCTAACTGATGCCCTGCTCTGCTTTTATGGTACCCTTTCCTCCTCCTTGCCCACCATGCCTTGATGTACTTACTGGATTGAAAAGGGAGGCTGCCTTGAGAGTCCTAGAACAAGCTTTGATCCATCCAATAGCCAGCAGGACCCTCCTGAACACTACTGCCCTCGATCATGCCCCTAGGCTATGTGGGCATCCTTTCCATGCCCCAGGGCACCTGTAAGCCTTAAGGGCTAATTACATGGCTTTGCCCACCCCTACACCATATCTCATGCCTCTCAGGTGTTGCTGTACCATCATTCCCCTGTTGGGGCTTTGGCCTTCTCAGCCTCCACCCCACTTCTCTAGCTGGGCCTTCTAGCTCAGGCCCACTGTATTAAACCTAGCTTCTAGGTACCCGCTCTAGTCTTGCCCCTCAGACACTGGGCCCCTGGACCCTGTCTCCACCTCTCTTGGGCACTGGGATCCAGGCCCCTAGCCCCGCTTCCTCCAGGCTCTGGGCTCACTCTGGCTTGAACCTGCCCCCAGCAGGATTCAAGGTGACCGCCTACCCTTTGGACATAATTTAATTCATAGACTCATAGATTCATAGACATTAGGGGCTGGAAGGGACCTCGCAAAATCATCAAGTCCAGCCCCCCCTGCCATAGGCAGGAAGTCTTCTGGGATCAAATGATCCCAGAAATATATGCATCTAAATGCCTTTTGAATAAGTCCAGAGTAGGTGCTTGCACCACCTCTGAGGGGAGTCTGTTCCAGACCTCGGACACTCGGACTGTAAAGGAGATTTTCCTTATTTCCAGTTTAAAATGGCCTTCCAGAAGTTTCATAGTTTCTAGGGTCGGAAGGGACCTGAGCAGGTCATCTAGTCCGACCCCCTGCCATGGCAGGAAAGAGCACTGGGGTCAAATGACCCCACTAAGGTGGTCATCCAACCTCCTCTTAAAACCCCCCAGGGTGGGAGCCTGCACCACCTCACTTGGAAGCTGGTTCCAGACCCTAGCCGCCCTGACCGTGAAGTAGCGCCTTCTGATGTCCAACTTAAACCTTCCCTCCGCCAGCTTGTGACCGTTGTTCCTGGTCA